TGTCCAGGGCCCAGTTTCAGGACCTGTTGTCCCGCATCGAGTGACGGATCATCCTACAATGAATTTTAACATGAAAACCCCCCCCTCCCCTGTACATCTTCACCTCTTCTTTCCCTTGTTGATTAATGCTACCAGAAAGATTCACTAACACAAAGATTCAGAATATTGCACTCTGTTGACAAGTCCGCCTCGCTAATTGCAGTGTTGCTAACTGTTTAGTAAGATGCTTCCGAGACACCGACCACTATCAAACTTGCTTGTGCACCTTCCCCTACAACAACCCTGCCCTCTTGATAAATGACCAATCACATTCACTTTATTTACTCGTGTAAAGTTGTGCACCACGCAGGAGAATTTGGAAATGCAGTGGTTGGAACAGCCGCTTCCCTACGACTTTATGGCTTAATGCATTTAAAATGTCCTTTAAAATAGCAGAAGATAAATCTGAATAACTCTGATGCAGACATATTAAATGCAATCAAAACAGTAAAGTTTCACCCAGTTTTACTGTGAAAAATAAAAAATAACTGAGAGATGCATGAATACATAGCGACGCTGGAAAGAAGGGGTTAGTTCAGCTGGTACCAGGCGGTTCGATTTTCGGGGCGGGCCAGCGAGAAGAAATAATTATTAGAAGACTCATAAAAAGCTGCTATCATAGGCCGGCAATGACGTAGCGTGGTGCTAACGATGCTAGTCGGTCCAACCTTAGTAGCCTAACTCTTCAAACAAATAAAAAAGGAATTAAGCAGACAGCAACACACAGTATGGATTTAGTCGGGCTCAGTTAGCGTTAGCATTCAGTTCAGAACTCTTCTTTAAAAACCACCAGCAGTTGATTCAGAAAGCTTCTTTCAGATAAAACACAAACAATACATGTAAAAAGGATCTAATTATCTATTCCACCTCTCTCGGAGCTCTCGGAGAGATTTGAGATATTCTGATGCAGAGTCTTCTCTGCAGGGGTTTCGACGGCCTCCGCTGAAAACCGTCATATGTCTCACCTTTCGAGGCCCGAGAGCTGCGGAAGAGGAAGCTGAATGGAGGTTGGCTGCTTATATGACCTCTTTCACAAGGATGTGGCGTCAGGTGGGAATCGCTCCTGCTGACATCACTGACATTTGATACTTAACACTGAACTTCTTAAGGTCCTTTAGTGTTTGCAACAAGATGCAGCATATCTTCAAGAGGTCTTTTCTGAAGGGTGCGATCTCTTCGGCCATCATCTACTGGCATAAAAGCATCCGAGCCAATAAATTATAAAAACTTACCAAGCTGATAAAGAATGTGGGTCTGTTCTAGGAACTTATCTAGAACCTCAAGAGATGATTTTACAAAAGATAATTCTTTATAAAATGAATAAAATTAAGACTGTTAAATAACAACAGGTTGTCTTCTGTCAGAGGTTATTCCAGATCCGGTGCAAGACAGACCGCTAAAGATCCATCCTGGCTACATTTTTTTCAATCTACAACTGTTTATTGAAAAATACTTAGGACATTTAATTTCCCTTTGGGAAAAATAAGTATATGTGAATTGAATTGAAGCAGTCTGAGACTGCTGGCCAGCAGAAGACAAAGTGTACAGTTAATGATAAAGTGAAATTGACTGCATTTTTTAAGGTTATTATGATTAATCTGCAACGTATTCAGCTTATATTTGATATTTCTGTATGAAGGAACTGAATTAACCCATTTCTTTTGTCTACATTTAATATCCCTGTTGAGTCCTTATTTACTTTCCCTCTCTTAGTCATCCTGTCTTCATCTGATCCCCAGGTGTGGCTGATGGAGGATGACCGCCACATCATGGCAGTTCTGTCTTGTCAGGATAGAGCTCAGAAGGAAAGTGTAACAACAGGAAAAGGAGAAGGAGGTTTAGAGGTGGTGTTGACTCCCACTGCTCTGAAAGGTGAAAACACGCTACCAGCCGTTATCCTACGTCTTACTGTCTAAATCTAAAGTTCTCGTCTCTGTGTGACCACAGGAGGAGAGGGAGGAGGCACAGACACATCCCATCGTTCCTCAGATTGTCTGGTAATCACCATCATGGAGCTTCCAGATGATTCTCCATCGTCTGAGTCAGTGAGCATGCTCAACGTAGTGGGTCTCTACCGGCCCCCCAGCTTGGACTCTCTGCCCTGCAACTTGCCAACACAGAAATGTCGCGCTTGGACATCCCGCAGTTTTCCACGCTGCCTGTTGGGGGCGCTGTGCATGGTCAGTGATTTTCGAATATGTTTTTGCAGTGCAACGAGAAACACACAGATAATATTTGCACCCAGGTGAGCTTGCACAGGTGTGTGACTCTTGCTGCTGTGTGTCTCCAGGTATACTTCAGTTCGCTGCCTCTGGGGATCTACCTGCTAATGGTTGGTCACCTGTTGATGGGCGTGGTACTTGTCAGCCTGGTTCCGTCCACACTACTGCTGCTCGTTCTCTACGGATTCTGTCAGTGCATATGTCAAGAAGTGAGGGAGGCGATTGCGGCACGCAGGCTGCCATGACAACGGTATAGGCCACTGTCATGGCAACAAGGACAGTGTGTGCTTCCGCAGTGACAAACAGCTCATATGGCCACACTTACGAGGATTACGACATAACTTTCAAACCCTTCGCCATCACAAAAGAGAACTGGAAGCAGAGCCGAACCCTCAGCACATTACCGACCCCATCAATGGAGGACCCTCCCCTTTTTGAGCACCAGCACCCCTATCTTTGCCAAAACCGCCAAACGGAAAAGAAGCAGGACATGTCTTCATTTCAGATTGTTATTATCAGCTGATCATCACTTATCTGATGACAGGTTCATCATCGGAAATTTGATTAAATATGTAGAGCTGGATAAGCTACTAATTACTATTAACATGTTGCTAATAAGTTGCTGTTAACGTTTGTGTATTATTTATATGTAAATATTGAATTCTGTTCATAAATGCACCTTAAGAGATCTCTGTTCTTAGAGTCTATAAACAACCAACTACTGTAAAAGGCTAAGTTCAATAAAAAAAGGTTGGTTAAATGTTAGTCTAGCTTGGTCTGGAAAGAAACAAAAGCTTAGTTTAATGTTAAATCTGGTAATAAAGGATGGTGCTAGGCTACCTAAGCACAAACACAGGAAATGGTGAGAAAGTGTTTGACCAGCTTAGGAAGAGGACTGCAACAACAGGTAAAGCATAATGGTGCTTTTTACACAAATGCGGGAGATAATTTTTTATTCAAAAGACTAGAGAGACAGAGAGAACCAAGATCAACATCAAATGTTTAGCTAGTTTAGAAGAGGGAAAATTCACCCGGCACTACAAATTAAATCTGGCTTATCATAAATATTGGAAATGCAATTCCAAAAAAGTAAAAAAAAAAAAAATCCACTGGACTTTGTTTCCAAGATTGAAGACGTTTCGCCTCCCATCCAGGAAGCTTTTTCAATTAAAAAGCAGTTGAATCAGAAAGCTTCTTTCAGATAAAACACAATTAAAAAGCGTTGAGTTAGAGGCTTTATTGATTGGACTAAAAACGAAGCCTGCAAAAACATGCAAATTGAAACGGATGAACGGATCCGCCCCTTTGGAATGGGGAGTCGTTTGATTTCTTTGTTATCCTGCAATAGGCAATACCTGTCTATGTATCTGAAAGGGGGGTCTTTAGAGGAAATTATTGGCCTGGCTAAACAGGCGAGGTCTTCTGTTCCCCTTTAAGGTGGAAATGATGGTACAAAAACAGGAAACAGAACGGTTTAAGGCCCCCACGTATTGCGAGGACTGTGAGCCGCACATGGTTCACTCTATAAATAGTCAGACTGACCTATTCCTTTATTTATTTTCCCACACTATAATGGTGTCAACAGGTTTGCCCTCTAGGGTTAGCTTCTCCCACTGCACACCTGTTTGTGATTTGGAGAGAACAGTTATGATGCTGCGGGTCCTTGGGCCTACCTAGCCTTTAGGCTATCATAGCATAAAGACTGGAAATGAAGATAAAGTGCTAGCCTGATAATAAGCCAGCAAAGCTTAGCATAAACATTTTAAAATGAGTGTGAAAATAGGTTAACGCAAGGAGTGAATACGAAGGGGAAAGTGTTTGATTAGCAATAAGATTGGAAATAAAGGGAAAATGTAAGCCAAAGACGAGAAAGTAAAGTGTTATAATATCTCTGGTTCAATCAATGTGCTAAGGTGGTTAAAATACTCAGTAGTTTCTGGTATTTGTACTAATCTAAGCTAACTATTTAAAGTTTCTTTGTCTGAAGGGAAGTGGTTAAACTGTCCTATTAAGTGCCAATGTCAGATTAGATTATTTGTTAATTACAGTGTTTCAATCATCTGGCGATTTTAACCCCTTATGTCATTTCCTGACCTTTGTAAAAACAAATAAATGTAACCTTGACTGAAGAGTTTAATTTCTTTAGCTGCTGCCTACCAGCCTTCCAATACGATTAATCTATTTACTGATGCGACTGTTGCAGTTCACAGTCTGTGGAAATGCCTCAGCCCCCTATGACCATCTGGATAATTTACAAATATCTGAAGCAGCAATAAAGAGCTTTTTACCTTGGTTACCGTCTTCTACTACATGGAGAACTTTTCTAATATTAATCTGTCTGTGTTTGAACCCGGGACCGTTATAACCTAACAGTTTGTTACAAAATAAACCAATACTCTTTTACAGAAAGACCATTTTCAGGTCTCGATGCGGTTGAAATGTTTTAACATTAATTTCCTTGTTCTACTCCAGCACTGGAAAAATTAATAAAAAATAATTAATTCCTGGATGCAAAGGGAAGTACCCTAGCTCTGTCCTTCTTCCTGTAAGTACCTGTGCCATGACATGTCCCACCTGTACAGGTAAGATTTGACAGAGAGGCAGACCCTCCTGGGTCCATGGAATAATCAGGACTCAGGTGTCCTACAAGCATTAATTAAAATCACTAACCTTCCCTGGAGAGCAGTAGAACGTGTTTATAGAAACCTGCCTACACCAGTCCTTTACCACAGAAGGAGGTGTACAGATTTAAGACCCGCAGCGATTGAGAGGGAATTATTTTTGCTGCAATCTACCCATGTAAAAAGAAGTACACACTCAGATGTAAGTCTTTAAGATTTTCTTTACAACCTGTATTTGCAAGTTATTTTTTGCAGAATTCTCTGTCTGCTTGGTGGGATTTCCTGTATTCTATTCTCATTTATAATATGTAATTTGTAAAATAATGTGAATACAATGATCTTCCCGGAATATTCTTTAAATGACACATTTTCTAGAATAGTGATTTATCAGCTGGGAGCTTGTTGCAGGTTATGGAAATACTATCTGTTCCTTCTGAATTATTCTTTTGAAAAACTTTTCCTTTGTTATCTGTTGGAAACATTGCTTTCTTAAGTGATCTTACCCCCTGGATTTGGAGTTGCTTTTTTTTTAAAACTTTTGGTAAGTTGTTTCGATGCATTACCAAAGCAACTTGTGCATTTTATATTAATGGAATTGGCTAATTAAAAGCTTGTTTGAAACCTGAGCTATATTCTAAAATTCCAGATGAGCTGAAAGGGAACCAAATAAATACAGAGTATAGGCATATAATAGGGAGAGGAGGAGGAAGTTCAAACTGCTAGGCTTTCTAACTCTCTAGGGAGACAACGATTTACAAATAAGCAGCAAAGTAAAAAAGAAATGGATTAGCAGTGCTTGTGAAAAGCTGGGAAGCCTTGACTTTGAAGCCTGATTATTAAACTATTGGTCCTTAGTTTATAACATAATTTAGAACGATGATATCATCATCTTAGTTGTTCAGTAACAAAAACAACAGTCTAATGCGTTTGCAGCAATAACTGGTGATTTAAAGGTATAGTCGAGGATTTTTGCTAATATCTGAAAAGACCAGCCCCCTTCATTTTAAAAAAAAGCACATGCACAACCCTGTACCCGCTCCCGGGAGGGATCGCCTATTAAACATGTGCGAGAGCGTGCACAAGCCTATTTCTCCTCGTGCATGCTCTGTTTAAGAGTTTGTTTGCATCACTCATACAAGCTTACTTTCCAAAAGAAGATTTGCAATTTTTCCACTATGTCAGACTCACCGCGGGTAAGTGAAAATGGGGACAAGCAGGTAGGACGGCCTTATGCACACGTCACCAGTATGATTGACAATTAAGAGGACCACTGACTTTGATGATCCACCTGGAAAAATAACATCCTCCACACTGATAAATGATAAAACCTGCATTTATCTTGCATTAACACTGTGAATGCAAGAATTGTGATGATGTCACTGGCAAGGGCAGATGCTGACCTCTGATTGGCCAGTGAGTCCCAGGTGACCTGCTTTTTCCAGTCAGGTGGCTGCATCATGAGTCGATGGCGTCGTTCAGTGGACGAACTCACAGCCGGGAGGAGGCGACAGCAGACAGAGTGTGAGCGCGCTCAGAACGCTCTAAGTCGCGTCACTTCCTGTTTCCAACAATTGGTGGCGTCGCTTGGCAGTTCAGCCGATAGCAGTTTCCTACGTGAGGAGATTGACGAGACGAGAGCTCTGGCTCACCGGATCTGCTCAGGTAGCACCTATCTGCCTCTCACCTGTCCGCTATCTGTCTGACTTTAGCCTGGCAGTCTGTCTGTATCTCACCTGTCCCTCTGTAGGCCTGTCCCGTCGTCTTCTTCGCCTGCTGTCCGCCTGTGACGCCGCCCCAGTAGCTACAGAGGATAGACAAGCTTCGGAGCGTCTCTGGGTCCTCTTCCTGTCTGCAGTGGAGAACTTCCTGTCTGACCTCCGAAAGGCCAAAGACCTGATTGGCCAATTTCCTTTGACTCAACGATCTAACAGACGATCATTGGTAAACACAGGTGAGATGTTGGCTCTGTCCTGCAGCTTTAATTGGCTGAGGCACAATTAACCCTTCCAGGACCTCATAAAGGGACAGATAGTTCAGAGTTCCAGGTACACTGGCAATTGCGTAAGTCTTCTTCCTCCAGAAGGCAGACTGAAGTATTTACCTCTCCAGAGAAATCTTCTTACCTAAAACATTAAGAAATGAGTGTAAAGAAATGTCTCTCCTTACCGGTCCACTCAGGATGTACTGATGGTCTGGTGGGTCTGGCGGCCCGAGTGGCTCTGGTCCAGATTCCCTGGCTGGTTTTGGAGGAAGAGCCGAGTCCTGATTTGACCAATCACATCGCAGGACTGGAGTCCCTGCTAAGTGAGCTGCAGCAGAGAGTGAGTCACAACCTCCTTTTAAAATATCTGGAACATCAGAGCCATGTTTAACCTTCATTTGTTCTGCAGGTTCCAGTAGCTTTCTGGTCAGTGGAAGCAACCCAACCAGCATGGGCAGAAGCTCTCAGTGACCAGGAAGGCCCAGAGGACAGCCTGGAGGATATGATGGTTGAGGTGGTTTCCAGTGATAGCAGCAGAAACGTGTCTGTTTGTTGCCAGGGAACATGCTGTGGACTCAGCTGTGTAGTTTAATCATGGAAACTTCCAGGTTATTTTGCTTTCTCCAAAGTAAAGAGAACCAGTTCCTTTGTAACAAAGGAACATCAGGAACTAGAGGTAGATCTATATATCTTTCAACTAATAGTTTTTTTTTTTTTTTGCTGAATCAGCATTAGCCCATACACGCATTCCTTTGCAGATTTATTAGTGCACTGAGCAGCAATGCCTTGAGATTACATATGTCTGCATTATCACTTCCTGCTTTTGTTATCCATTGTTAACATTTTGGTTATTTGTGAATAAGGATTTATTTTTATGTTTAAATTGAAACTTTTATTAATGTAATGTTTTGTGTAAATGAAGGAAAACCAATATTGGCTTCAAGAATCGCATACAAAAAAAAAAGAAATTCAACAGTACATATTTGAGATCTGTGAAACTGCTGTAAAAAGTTATCGTTGGTCAATCCTGAGACCAGTTCCCCTGCAACAGAGGAACTACGGACCAGTTCTCCCTGCAGGAAACAAATACCACTAATGAATTCAGAGTGAGTTTAATAGAATAAATCTGGGTTGTCCCCCAGTGGATAAATTTAAGAGTTTCAGAAGTTAGGAATGTTTAGAGGAAAAATACTGTAGTTATTACATATCTGATAGCATCATTAAATAAAGTGGTTCCTACTCATCTAAGAAAAACAATTTACTTCTTTAAGCCTCAACCTTCCACAGGTCTGATAGAAATTGAAATACATATTTATAAACTACATACTGGTTAGCGGTCAGAAATAAAATAATTCACTATAATCTTTTAAGATTGAGATGGTTTATCCTGTTAAGTTCTGACATCCATCTGGTCCTGATTGTTCTTTAAGTTCCTTTCAATAAGAAACGTTAAACCTCCGGATTTCTCCCAGATGATGAAAGATCTAACTAACCCGAACCCTCCCCAGACTAAAGAACACATAGCCTGAGGTCCACTTCAAAGTTTCCCCAGTCTGTAAACGCCTGGAATACCATTTCTTCTTCTGGTCCATTGGGTTTTCTGAAATTATCAGAACATTTTAGAGCATCCTTCCTTGCGCTAACAGGTGAATAGAGAAGCTAAACTCATTTCCAAGCTCCAGGGCTTGGTATTATACAGAGCCCAGGAATTAACATGGGGAGAAAAATGTGTGTGCATGAAATACCTAGTTGTTCCCTGGAAATACTGATTTGTGCACAAACCTGTTCTCATGATGTAACTTTGGATATCGAGTTGAGTGAAAAAAAAACACAAAAAAAAACACATAACCCACAGTTCAGATGACCTCAAGTCCATATTAAAAACAACCAGGGCTTATTGGATTCCAGCAGAACCACAGGCTGATGGCCATGTTAATGCAGGAATTCATGCAAAAGGAGCCCAGGTAGGTATATAGTGCAGATAAACTATACTTTTAAGTTTATATCCTACTGATCTGATTAAATATTTAAACACTAAAAGGTTTATAATTATATGTAACAAAATAACTAAGACATAAAGGCTGTTAAATTCAGTGTGTGAAAATGTCTACAACGACCAAGTCATCTGAGAACCTCCGGGCACCGCACAATGGCAGCCCACTGCTCCCAAAACGGATGGGTTAAATTTAGAGTTCATTTCTTTGCTCTGTACTTGTGACTGTGTAATGACCATAAAAGCTGGGGGAAATAAAATAATACGAGCTCCTTTCTGAAATTAGGGACAAAGACCTGGAAGAAAATTAAAAGTTTAACTGTAAAAATCCAATTTTGCACTTAAACTATAGAAATGTTAGTAAATGGGTGGTTATTGCATTTTTACTTTGCATATATATATATACATACACATACACAAACACATCTTTGATTTATTAGTTCAGCAACATCTGACCTTAAACAGTATGGTGCTGCCCCACAAAACGTTCATATTGGTTCGAACACCAACAAGACTTTCAGCATTTCAACCATTTAGCATAAATAACACTCAGACATGTCCTGACCACACCTGCATTCTCTTTCCATACATTCATCCTATTCAATGACCACTCACATTCAGGAGTGAATTAAGAACTTTATTAACACAGAGGCACACAAACATAAAAATATCTTACAATCAGACAACAGGAAGAAGAAGAGCAGCTGCTTCATTTCTGGAAGGTGGCGTGGAGGTGAGCTCGGAAGGCTGCAAGAGAAACAACGGTCAGTCCACAGCTGCCATCTGACCTGGCCCTTTAAATGTCTTCAGAGAGCAAATTCACTACAATCTGACCAATCACAGCTCAGATCAGACAGACTCTGCTCTGATTGGCTACGATGTTCTGTTGGGTTCTCCTGGCCTGCCTTAACCATCTCAGAGGTTCCGGTTTGCTTACCTTCCTGGTTCTCCCATAGTTCTGCAGCAGCCGTGTTCAGAGGACTGTCGTTGTTGGGTTCTGAGGAGAATGCAGCGAGTAAGAGGGATGCTAAAGAATCATCAGATCTGGGTCTGTTGGAGCAGTTACCTCCCAGCAGGCTCTGGATGGACAGCAGAATGGACCGGACGTCGTACAGAGCCGACCACTTTTCCTTCAGAATGTCCAGGCAGATGAAGCCCTGCTCGTCTACATTGGGATGAAAGCACGGAGTCACAAACTTCACCCGGGGAGCCTGATACGGATACCCGGCCGGGAAATCCAGGGACAGTCGATACCGCAGCCCTTCATACACCTGCACACAGAAACAGGTCAGACTGAGCCCGGTATCGATACACCAGCATAAAATCCCAAGCCACCTGAAGGCAGGTGGGATCTGGTATTTGCGTACCGTCCCTTGAGCTCCGTCAATGGTTCCCACCCATTTAAAGAGATTATCCGATTCAGGAAAAGCTGAAATCCCCTTATCACCAGACATCTGCAGCAAGAAAACAAAGTAAGACCCTCACAGCTCAGACTATTTTTCAGCAGAAGAGGGTTGCTTATGTGACCCGGTGTGGATCATGCACTGAATAAACGGGCTTGAAGGACTGGTAGCGGCCTGCAGCCATCCTTTTATCAGTTTGAAGTGCTGCTAGTCAGCCTCCAGTGTTTGGTCAACATGTTGATTTTGTCCTCCAAGTTCCAAATAGATTTCTATCTAAGCCACTAAATTCTTATCAGGTCCACCTAAGCTGACCGCCACAATCCTCCTTCACATAAGAGATCATCTTAATGGGTTGCCAGAGTTTACATCTATGGAAATATATACTTTTGCTAGGCAGGAAAAAAAAGAAAATCTCATTCTTTTCTTGGAATAACATCATTAGATCATTATTAATTTTTAAATGGAGAGAATCTGTTATAGTGCCATCACTGGTTAACCATGTCACTCTGAAATGCTATTTATTTCAAAAACAGCACAGATTTTTTTTTTGGTGTTAGTTTTACACTAGAAGATCAAGGAAAGTTTAGATTTGGGTCAGTTTTTTACTGAAGTAGATGGGCTTTATCTTGCATCTGGGCTGGAGACAGTCAGGCAGATCTGGCAACCCTGATCTGATGACAACGTTCCTCCACTCTTCACTGCAAGCTCTTTTAGCTTGGCACCATTTGAAGTCTGTTACCCGATTGTAATGAACAGAAACTGCTGACGAGGTCTGTTAGCGGCAGGAAATGAGGAGATGGACTCACCATGAGTGTCATCAGCTCCTGCTGTAGCCTGTGGACAAAGAAAGACGGACAGAGACACAGTAAGAGATCTTGATCGCAGAGGAAAAACACTTCCAACAGATTCACTCATTTAAATGTAGGACTTTAGAGTCCAGCATCAGAATCGCCTAGAAAGGATAGGCTTTACAGCAGGGGTCTTCACCGTTTTCCAGGCCAAGGACCCCCAAACTAACGGCGAAATGGAGCGGGGAACCCTGATTATATACATTGTGTTATATCACACTGGTCCTATAGTCAGTCTATTAGATATGAAGTCATGTTATGAAAGCAATTTTGCCCTGGGATTATAAAGTATTTCTGATTCTGATTCCTCATTAATGGGACAGGTGAATGAAAAGGTGCCCATCTTGAAAGAGTTCCTGTGTGTCTAAATGTGTGCATTGATGACTGAAATGCTACGTTCACACTGCAGGCCTTGATGCTCAATTCCATTTTTTTTTTCTTTTGCTTTGTCGTTCACATTTCCAAATATAAACGACTTCTATGTGATTTGCGCCTGTGTGAACTGCAAACATACAGCGCAAGTGTCCTGCATGCACGGTAGAGGACACCATGACATCACAGGCCAGGGTGCTCTGTGTTTATGTAAGTAAACATGGATTGTAGTGCATCTAGCGATCTTTCCCAACCATAAAAACATAATCTTTTGGTTAAAAATAAATACTGCTCTCCGCATCATCATCTGCCATCGTCGTCATTTTTCTTGCCGCTTCTTCATAGCAAGACCCAGGATAGTGACCTTTGTAGGTTATCAATGGCGTTCAGGTTGGATAAATGCAACCTGGCCGCTTTTGAAAAGATCAGGAGCACATATCCAAGTGGCCTGGGTCACATTGGGGAAGGGAAAAAAAAAATAAAAAATCAGATCTGTGTTTTTCAGACTGCCATGAAAAGATCATATACAGATCGCATATGGGCCAACAAATAAAATCAGATTTTGGTCACTTCAGGCTGCAATGTGAATGTAGCCAACAGGGGTGGCTGGGGGGCCTGGGGTGGCCATGGCCAATTTGGCCACCCTTAGCCAAATTTTAATACAGACGGTGGCAGCAGCAATACTCTCAAGTGGAATATTCAAAACATTTAAAATGTTCATATATTAACAATTGCTTGACAACCAAAACACTGTGGTTAATTATGCACATTAAAATCCTAACATTAAATATGATAAGTACAGATTTCATGCTCTTTCCATAACTAGATTTTGTGTTTCATGGGGTAAAGAGAAAAAGATGCGTCTCTGCAAGTCATCTAGGAGTCTTCAGTGAAATCATAGATAAATAACCATTTTAACAAAAACTTACTAAATAATCAATTTACTTAGATATTAGTACATGTAAATATAAATTTTATCCAGAATTATTGTTGATAAAAGTAGGCAAGTAAAGACAATGGAAAAGATGTTTGCCCAAAACTCTAACCTGAAAGGATTTTATCCACTATACCTTTAATCTAGAAACCACCGATATTTAAATATATGCATCTATTTGTTAGCAAAGGGTGTGGGAAAGTATACTTTGTCTTTATTTAGAAAATATGGATGTTTTGCTCTTTAATTTTCCTGTTGGAAGAGTGTAGATTGACCCTGAGGTTCAGGTGCCACCCCTCACTGTACATTGGTTATTGCCTGGCCAGTGTGGCCACCCTAATAAACATTTTCTGGCTACGCCTCTGGTAGCCAAAGACATCTTCTGCCTCCATTTATCTGTTTATTAAAGTGTGCTGAATTCATGTTAATGTGGATTTAAATATATTTTAATTAGTGGAAAAAACTGCAGGGGAGAATATGGGCAAAAAAAAAAAAAGAGAAGTAAATCAACCAAAACTTTCGCGACCCCCATGCAGTACCTCCGTGGACGCGTAGGGGTCGCGGATCCCTGTTAAGGACCTCAGCTTTACAGGATAATTCCTGGTTTGTAAATTGGTTTTTAGTTTGTGTAATTAATTTGAATAAATTCATTTTTATACATAAACTCTTCCAATATGGATACAAATCTCTGACAGTTTGATTTATGATTTAGAAAAAATGCTGTAGAAGCATAGCAGCTCATTAACAGGAGAGTCCATTAGGTAGAAACCGGGCCGGTCCACAGATGTTCCGGTTCGTGACTCACCGTTTGGTCACCGAGCCTCTGGCTGCGCTGCCGCCGCTCTCGCTCCCCTTCAGGGCGGCTGCGGGCGAAGCTGCGGCGGCTGCGGGGTCCACGTTCTGGGAGGCCATGGTTTCACTGCTGGAGACCGACACAGATTAAACTAAACAAACCGAACAGGCCGAGCTGTCTGCATATCTCACAGAGATACATTAACCACCGGAGCCGGCTAAAAATTCTAGAGGATAATTGGATCCCTATCGTCACCAGAGGAGATATTTACGAGCTTCGGACCAGAATCCGGAATAATAATTCGTTAAACCCACTTTAGTCCCATGCTAGGAGCCGTTAGCAAGCTTGTTTCAACGGTCCTAATGTAACCTAATAAAACAATCATCCCGTTTTACATGAACATAGATTAATAGACTGAAGAACTCACCGAATATTAAGTTTGGTATCGGTTAGGTCTGAGTCCGGATGGAGCTGCTGCCGGTTCGGAGCACGAACTGAACTTTCTGCCGCCCCTCAGTTTAAACCGAGTTTCCTTTACAAATCAGCCAATCAGCGCTCGATTTCTAACACGATCTACAACGCACCAATCAGACGGCTGCTTACAGACTCCCTCTGTGTTTAGTTTAGAAATCAAAAGGGAAAGGAAATGACGCCATTAACAGAAGGTAAAATAGTTATTGAACATTTCGGAAGAGAAATTTCCAACAAGCCACAGATTACCTTTATTTTCCTGTTTGTGATTTATTTATTTTTTCCATGTAGTGTTTCAGTCTCTCTGATTATGGCATGCCGTGTTGTAAAACTATATGTAATTAATATCTGAAGGGTTAAAACAGGTTTTTAATTTGTGCATTTTTTTTCCATTTAAAATATATTTTTTAAATTAATACTTGTAAAAAGAACAATTAAAAATTTTCTCAATGACGTTGTAAGGGATCCCTATGTCATCCAATTTGTCCTTTGAAGATTCTCAGATCAATAACTAGAATTTAGGGTATTGTAACTGTTATCATTACTGTGATGAAAATGGAAAAAAATGACATTTCATACATCTGAATATATATATAAATAAAACATTAAAAGAGCCCGTCTAGTGCAGACAATGGGCTGTTCAAAATGTTGATTTTTGGTGGCCATTTTCACTCATCATAATTCAGTTGTTAATATCTGAAATATACGTTTCATATAATCAGTGATTCATTGCAGATCTCTTGAATTGAAGCCTCCAAAAAGCTTAAAGATAAAGTCAACATCCTTTCGAACGGAATAGAAATGCCTTTACAGTCTCCCATTGGGGAAGTTCAGGAGTATCAGCAAAGCAGAAAGGCTTATGAAAATATAAATGTTTGCACATCGTTAAATATTTAAAAGAACAACAACAACAAAAGTTAGAACAAACAGTAAGGGAAGGTAATATCTAAAAGAATAACAATTGAACATTCATTTAGATATAAGCTCAGTAGTTATGACCTAGTTAAAACATTGTGAGGTATACATTGACCATTATCTCTAGTTATACATCAATGTTGAATATCGTAAATGTAAGTGAGTTTAAGCTGATTTTAAGGTAATATGTTTGCCATGTCTGGCTGCCTCCTTTACAAGTCTTCTCAGCAGAGTATTACAACCTGCATCAAAAAGTCTTGGAAGGTATTAAACAGGTTTGTCCTTCTGAGGTAGTAATTGTGGGATTAATTAATGGAGTAGTTTTGAAAATTCAAAGAACTATTTCAGTATATCGAATCATATTGACAGCGACACAGGAACATTGCTCAAATTTTTATAGTTTTATTTTCATAGTTTTTTTTTTATTTTTACTGGCCCCTTCTCAGATACATCATCTTATACTAGTCCCCCCACTACAATCACAGAGCACCAGCCAGTACTCGACTTTCACTAGTTGCAATTAATGGTCACACTATTTGCATTATTTTCTTAAAGTTTGTACTTTTTTCCTGTGTGTTCTTATATGACATTATATTATTTTGGTTTCATAATGGCAAAAATATATTTGATTCTATTGAAAGACATGCAATTTACTCAGCAGAAATGGAATTATTATTAGTTTACAGTGGTTGGAGGAGGTTAGACTGGACTGGGTGGTGATTTTTACAGATTCTAAAGCTGCAACAGAAAAAATAGCAGACAAGTTAGCTAAAAAGTCTTTAGGAAAGCAGAATATAGACCAGATTCCATTTGGGAAAGGTAAGTCAATAATTAAAAAGAAAGAAACAGAATTATGGCAAAAAAAATATGGATGAAGATGAGAAAGGAAGATGATTATATAGGGTTAAAAAATCTGTAATTGCTAAAAATTATGGAGAAAGAAGAAGAAGGGAAGAGATAATTTATACTAGATTAAGAACTGGACATATCTACTTGGATGAGTTTTTGTTTGTACTTGGGAAGAGAAATAATGATTTATGTGAGGGTTGTGAAAGAAAAGAAAATGTGGATCATGTTTTGATGGATTGCATTAAATATGCAACTGAAAGAGACAGGATGAGGAAAGTAATTATGGAAAAGGGGAGAGAATGGAGTATAAAAGGAATTTTAGGGACAGATGGAGATAGAGAGGAACATTTGGATATTAATAAAACATTGATTTTAGTTTTATATAACACAAACATAATAGAATGTAGCAGGTGGAACTATATAACTACACACTCATGTACAGAAGTTGGCGGTATACACCTATAATTTGTTTGCAATTCGCCAATCTAACAAAGAAGAAGAAGAATGTTTATAGCAGTTTGCAGATTCTCTAACTTGCAGTTCCACAGCCTGTCCGCTGGGTGTCAGTACTGCACGTTGATGCTGCTTCACACACCGGCTCCAACGCTAAAGAAAAAAGCGGAGCGGAAGTGTTTCCCGGTTTCTAAAAGGTAGTTCTGGTTCGAGTTCGGTTCGCACGGAAAGATGAACGCTCCTCCGGCATTCGAGTCATTTTTGCTCTTTGAGGGAGAGAAAAAAATCAGTATTAGCAAAGATACGAAAGTTCCCAACGCTTGTTTGTTCACGCTAAACAAGGAGGACCACACGCTGGGAAACATCATCAGAGCGTAAGATGAACTCTCTCTCACACACACAACATCCATCCATGATGCTAAACAGAACCAGACAGACCGCATGAGATCAGCTCCGAAACCTTCACCTGATCCACTCCTTCATGGTCCCGAACAGGGAGACGGATCCGGGTCACAGCTTAGCAGAAAAATTACAAAGTAATACTGAACATAAACTATGTAGATCAGACAAGGCAGAACAATTACGAAGGATTGGGATTTATTAGAGTATAAAACAATAAATACAATTGTATAAAATAAAGATGTGATGCTTGAAAGAGGCACAAATGGAACCACAAACATGAAGCCTAGAGGTTGCTGGGATTATTTCAGACACACTACAGAGGAAATATTCTTGAATAACATGATAAATGTTCACAGTACAGAGAAGTGTTAGTGTGTGAATATAGTTTGGTTGTTAGAGGGTCAGAACAGACCTTTATTCTACAGTTTATTCACCAAAGTTGTTTGGCGGCTTCCTGTAAATAAACAGGAGAAGAAGACTTCCTTTCCATTCAATTCAGTTTATTTCTATAGCGCCAATTCACAAGAAATGTCCTCCCAAGGCACTTTACAGTTCACCAGATCAGTCAGATTGATTCTAAGTTTTCTAAGGAAAACCAGTTGATTGCATCGACTCATTGACTCTTCAGCAATCCCTCACACTAAGCATGCTTGTAGCGACAGTGGAGAGGAAAAACTCCCTTTTAACAGGAAGAAACCTCCAGCAGAACCAGGCTCAGTGTGAGCGGCCATCTGCCGAGGCCGACTGGGGTTCAAGGAGACAGAAGGCGGTCCATGGGGTGGATCAATGCTCCTAAACTCCTAAACAGGGAACCCACTAAAACATTCATTTGAACCTTTAGGTTCTTTGTTTTCTGTGGTCTGTGTAGAAACATGGTTCTGTAGCGCCCAGGATTGTGGCTCCAGCAGGTTTCTGACCACCTGAATGTGTTTTGCAGTCAGCTGCTGAAGGATCCTCAGGTTCTGTTCGCCGGTTACAAGGTTCCCCATCCTCTGGAGCACAAGATCGTCATCCGAGTCCAAACCACCCCTGACTACAGTCCCCAGGTAAAAGTCAGCTAAAACGGGCTGCTTCGGTGGCGCTGTGGTTGGCGCACATGACCCATGTATGGAGGCCTTAGTCCTGTATGCAGATGAGCTGGGTTTGAATCCGAACTGTGGTCCTTTGCTGCATGTCTCTTCCCCTCTATCAAACCCCCTTTCCTGTCAGCCTACTGTCCATAAAAATGTGCCACAAAAAAAGCTAACCAATAACTGTGTATAAGCTCATCTGTTTACAAAGTAAACCTCCTGTTATTGTTAACAAATGAATATAATATGTTTAATCGCATCCTTTTAACTGAACCCCAATGTGTATGACGATAAAATGGCATTAACTGTCAAACAGGCAATAAAATATATTTCTGGCAGGTTTTTTACCACATGGGCGGTAGCTGCCTCGTATTAAAGCCAGATCTCTCTAAAATGATCAGCAAAAAATAAAATAAAATAAATAAAATGATCAGCAGCCGAAATTATGTTTACTTGTTTTTTTTTTTTTTTTGTATTTGACTAGTTTTGTCAGCTGTTCATACTGGCACAAAAAAGTAACATTTATTTACTTTTTTAAAATAAAACAGAGGAAATGCACATCTAGCCAGGTTATTATCCATCCCTCTTTATTATGTTTAGTTAATACAGTTCTTGCCTCAGGGATGAATAATAACTAGTTATATCAATTCTGTTTCATTTACCATTTATGGGGAAAAAAATACCTCTAGGAGTAATTTTACTGCAACGCAGTTTTTTCTTTTACTTGAGTAAAATGTCTGGCTAATCTAAGATCATGACTTCACTAATAGAAGAAGAAGGTTGCACCAGAATCCAGTGTCTTTTATTGAATTGTTTTTCTATCTGCTGATTTACTTTAAAGTGACGTTGACCAACAGTAAGCCGTGTTGTAGATTTTGTTTTTGGAAGTAGCTTACATTATTCTGACTCACATAATATACCATAAGTAGTGGTTTAATACGTTTTATAACTCCATTTATTTGGGTCTATCATTTTTTTCTTTCTAAATTCAATTAACACTCTGATACCTGCTCAAAAATCCTAATAATAAATGATCAAATCAAGTTTTGGTAACCATCAGTTCAAACTATTGTTGCCTTGATCGCGCTATATCACAGGACAGCGCCATATATATTATGGACAAATAAGTCAGCAGCACAACCAACTACAATAATACAATAACAATATGCTGCCCCAGGAGTCACATCCTCCTTGATTAAAGAAACCGTGGACATATCGTATAAAACTGGGACATCTGTTCTCTTTTTTCTTACACTGAACTTTTACTGCAAAGCTAACAGCCTCTCATGTGATAACAAAACCCATTTAACACACTAACAGAAAATAATCAAGGAGTTTGCCACAGCGTCGCTGAATATAAACAAAGCTAAACATGCTGCTAAGGTTACTGAAGCCATAAATGCTGCAGGCACATTCAGAGGCAGGGTGGGCAGCATTCCTTATCACAAATGTTAGCGATTTAAAAAATTTGACAGACCGTCTCCTCATCACCATGTCTTTATAGTCTAGAGAAAAGGTGCATTAATAAAAATTTGTTTCGTCAATGTTGAAGAAAACCAGCAGGTGCTAAACTCTATGTTGACAGGAAGTGATGTCATGTCTCCCTCAGGAAGCCTTCACCAATGCCATCACAGACCTGATCAGTGAGCTGTCGCTGCTGGAGGAACGCTTCAGAGTCGCCATCAAAGACAAACAGGATGGGATCGAGTGACTCCGCCCACCTCACAGCCTCCTTTCTGTTTTGTTTTGTTTTGTTTTTCCTAATAAAGATGTGATTTTATGTCCTGTCCACTGTTTGGGTCGGGTTATTGCAGACGTGGCTATTAATTTCAAATTTCTGACGGGTCGGGATATTTGTAAGTTGTTCTGCAAAACCTGGAACTTTCCAGGAAGTTCTTGGTCATTTTGACCCAGATGACAATGATGAAACCCTGTCCCACCAGGTACTGTTTCAATCAATTGAATTATCCAACTGTAATAGTGAGCGTTTAACCACTAGGGGCGGCACTAAATAAAGACGGTTGTTGCAGAACTGAAATAAAAACATGAAAATGTAAAAAAAAAAAATGCAGTGTTATCAGAATATAGCACCATATAGAGCAATTTTATGCTATTGCAAAAAAAGTTAAATAAGATATTTACAGTGGTGCAGAACCTTCTGATAGACTGTTAGAACATTAGAACATCTGAACTGTTGAAGCTACAGGCATGAACTGATGACCCCTCAAATATCTAGACTGACTTTCAGACTAAAAGTAGCTTCTAATGAAGTAATTTTAAGAAAAATGTTAGAATTCCTCAAATATTAAGATTTTTTGGGAAATTTCCTTCGATAAAATATCTTCCAAGAGAAGCTCAAGCTTTTAGAAAGCCACTAATGAACAAATGTTTGTGATGTATTTTAGTGATACTAAGGGTCTGAAGCAGAGAATATGGAAACAAAGACATCTGATACACCTAAACTAAATTAGTATAAAAACAATAACAGTTATATTATTGATAATTAAATAAGATACTCTATCATCAAAGTGGGGGAAATTAATTAGTTTCAACCGCTGGAAGGATCGAAGGTTAAATTGTAACATAATTGTGTCGATGACAATAATGGAAAAATTTAACAAATTTATTAAACTATTTTACAGCCTATAATGATTGAAAAGTGTTTTAAAATAAAACAGTCCCATAAATATTAATCTATAAAGACTACAGATCAAATAAAATCCATTAACATCTGTTATATATCCATAGAAGGTGGATATAAACAAGTTGATTCAGTATTTACTGTATTGTCATGATTTCAGCAGCCAGACTTTGCACCTTGGTCTCTGTATGAGGCACTTTATAAATAAACTTTACTAACTTATAATGGGTTTACTGTTAAAAAATAAATATTCATATATTTATCATAGTTTTTTCCTAATGTTCAGGGTGTTTTGCTCTTTCAGCAGACACTATAGTTATTTGATTACCACATACAGTGAGGAAAATAGTATTTGAACATCATGCTATTATACAAGTTCTCCTACTTAGAAATCATAGAGGGGTCTGAAATTTTCATTGTAAGTGCATGTCCACTATGAGTGACATAATCTGAAAATAAAATCCAGAAATCACAATATATGATTTTTAAAAACTATTTATTTGTATGATACAGCTGGAAATGAGTATTTCAACACCCTTCAGCTAGAATTCTGGCCGTCAAAGACCTAATAGTTTTCCTTCAAAATATCCACCTCCAGTCCATTTATTATCCTAAATTTAAATGCACCTGTTTGAGGTCGTTATCTGCATAAAGACACCTGTACCCCCAATACAACCAGTAAGAATCCAACTACTAACATGGCCAAGACAAAAGAGCTCTCCAAAGACACTAGAGACAAAATTGTACACCTCAACAAGGCTGGAAAGTGCTACAGGGAAACTGCAGCTTGGTGAAAAAAGGTCCACTGATGGAACAATCATTAGAAAGTGGAAGCTAAACATAACAGTCAAGCTCCCTCAGACTGGGGCTCCATGCAAGATCTCACCTGGTGGGGTCTCAATGATCCTAAGATAGGTGAGAAATCAGCCCAGAACTACACAGAAGGAGCTGGTCAATGACCTGAAAGGAGCTGGGACCACTGTTTCCATGGTTACTGTTGGTAATACACTAAGATGTCAATGGTTTGAAATCATGCATGGCACTGAAGGTTCCCCTGCTTAAACCACATTTCAAGGCCCATCTTAAGTTTGCTAACGACCATTCGAAGAGTCATGAGAGAAAGTCATGTGCTCTGATGAGACCAAAATAGAACTTTTTTGTCCTAATTCCACTAACCGCATTTGGAGGAAGAAGAATGAGGAGCACCATCCAAAGAATACCACCCCTACTGTGAAGCATGGGGGTGGCAGCATCATGCTATGGTCTTTTTTTTTTAACACATGGGTCAGGGCAACGTCACTGTATTCAGGAGAGGATGACTGGTTCCATGTATTGCAAGATTTTGAGGAACAACCTCCTTCCCTCAGTTAGAGCATTGAAGATGGGTGGAGGCTGGATCATCCAACATGACAATGACCCGAAGCACAAAGCCAGGGTAACCCAAAAAAATATCGAGCTTCTGGAGTGGCCTAGCCAGTCTCTAGACCTAAACCCAATAGAGAATCTTTGGAGGGAGGTTAAACTCTGTGTTTTTCAGCGACAGCTCAGAAACCTGACTGATCTACAGAAGATCTGTGTGGAGGAGTGGGCCAAAATCCCTCCTGCAGTGTGTGCAAACCTGGTGAAAAACTACAGGAAATGTTTGACCCCTGGAGTTTCAAACAAAGGCTACTGTACCAAATATTAACATTGATTTTCTTAGGTGTTCAAATACTTCTTTGCAGCTGTATCATACAAATAAATAGTTAAAAATCATAAATTTTTATTTTTGGATTTTTTCGTTTAGATTATGTCTCACTGGACAGTTTCAGACACTTCATGACTTCTAAGTGGGACAACTTGTAAAATAGGGAGGGTATCCAAATACTTATTTTCCTCACTGTAGATATGTCTATAATAGTTATATTTTTAGCTCTATGAATTCTCTTGATACTCAGACACATCTGGAGTTTCAGAAAAATGGTCAGCTGATCACAAGAAGTGATATTGCTTCCATAGGGACAGAACACAAGCATCTTCACAAAAAAACATTTTATTTTTTTCTAAAAAGCAAAAAGAACAAAACCATAAAAAAACACCAAAATATATAAAAGTCACAGGATCAGAGGCTCCTGGTCATGTGACCTTCAGGGGTCGGCATCCCTCTGTGCCTCCATGGCTTTCTGCATCTTCTCCACCATCCAGGGAGGAACGCTGAATGGCTTCAGCTCATCCATCCTCACATCCGGACAGTCCCTGAAAAACACACACGTTACTATAGCAACCACATACAGACAGTATCTGAAAACCAAACAGACATTACCAAGGTCAATATGCGAAAAAACCCAAATGTCACCATGGTAACCCCACAGCTAAAAAGAGGAGCAGGTAAGGAAAGGCTTCAGGACAAGCATTGTGCATAGATGCATCTCGGATGGCGATCAAATTTTCTGATCCAGATCTTATTCCCCTTAGTTCTGTTTTTGCCTCCACAGCTTAATTGTTATTCTGCTTTGGTCCAGAAGCGAGACCCCAGCATCAAGGATCAGAGGGATTGTTCTGCTTGATCAGATCAGTTTAGATGAAACTTGATTTTAATGCAGAATGGAACCAGACTGACCCAAACACAAACTGGAGAACCAGAGAACTTAAAGCGTGAGGCTGACCTGTACTCATCGCTGCGGGACAGATCTTGGATGTCCTCCTCAATCAGCAGGTAGGCCTGAAACAGGAACATAGAGGGAGTTTGCAGAACACCGAACAGAACCAGAGCGTTTTTTCAGGCCCGGTTATTAACGGCGATCCAACAGTTCAATAAAAAAACAGAATTATTTCTTCAACCGTTCTTCTCCTCTGAGTATTACTACTGGTCTGGAGAGGCTCAGTCTGAGTCCAGCACAGACTTGATTAAGACTTAAGAACAGTGGATAAAGCTGCTGTACTGTTGAAAGGTTCTAATCGGTTTTATGCTAACAATCTAATAAATTATAAACGGTATGAATAATTCTGCATTTGTATTTAAATGATCAGAAACGATCATCTAACTTTAGCTGATGCTAACAGCTGCTTGCAGAGCAGGTTCATATTTCTGGTGGCTTAGCTTTAAAGTATGACACTAAAGTAGCACCAAGTGTCGCAGTACTGTCCTACTGACTGACCCTACTGGCTCAGCTTCTCACCATCTTCCCTCCGGTGGCCCTCATGTGATGTCTCTCCGCCAGCCACTGCTTATCCTTGGCATCGGCGGCATACTGCAAAACAAAAGAGGGCAGGTCATCACAGCACCGCCCTCAGGCCACCGCAGCTCACCGGGATTTACGGAGCTGGACTTACCTTGAACAGGTCCGCATGTTTGATGTAGATCCGACCTCTGGTACCGCCCATCCCCAGTGCCCTGTGATGACATCACAACAGCTGATGACTCACTTCCTGAGCACTAACATCAAGGTTTGATCAGACCGAATGTTCTCAGATGGCTTCATGAGTTCAATCAACCTGCTGAGAACTGCTAACTTCAGCTGATTGGATGACAGGTTTACAGCATCATGATGTCATTGCCATTTCATTAAAGGGGAGCGCCGATTTTTTTATACGTTTTTTGATTTTACATTATTACATCATGTTCATCATCATTTGGAGCTGTTCTGAAGATATTGTGTTAGGTTATATCCAGGTAACGTCTTCCTATGGGCAACGACTTGAAGGCACAAACTAAACTGTTCATAATTTATTCTTTATGGTGCGCCAGCATTCATAACATGAAGGCGAGTCACTGTCCCCCAGACATCCACAGTTATATTTTGTATATTTATATGTTTTAAAAACAAAGCCGCGTGTGTATGACATCATCTGAGTCCGCTGAACTGCTGCTAGTTTTACTCACATGCCTGGAAGATGTCTAGTGCTGCTACCACAGATGATCTCGCTCTGGAAATGGAATTGAACGATTCAGATTAGCTAGCTGAATGAATAGAAGGGGTAGAGCGTAGCCGCCTGTGGCCTGGGCTTCCTGTTACGACTCCAGTCCGGCGCGCGGATGATGTCATACACACTCCGCTTTGTTTTTAAAACATATAAATGTAAAAAATATAACCGCGGATGTCTGGGGGACAGTGATTCGCCTACATGTTATGAATGCTGGCGTACCATGAAGAATAAATTATAAACAGTTAGTTTGTGCCTTCAAGTCGTTGCCCATAGGAAGACGTTACTTGGATATAATCTAACAGAATATCTTCAAAACAGCTCCAAATGACACAAAACTTATATGGGTGAGTAGAACATGATGTAATAACGTAAAATCAAGGGGCCAATGTAAAAAAAATGATGTTCCCCTTTAACTTCTCTAAAATCTGTTTCCGACATTAAGAGGTGAAATCAGTAGCAGTGACTCACTTGTTTGCTCTGGAACCCAGAACGAATGTGCTGCTGTCATTGAGTCTGGCCGGGTCCCACTGCAACACAGACACCCACAGTCAATCACTCACTGAGTCAGAATGGGTCAACTGTTTTTTTTTTTTTTTTCCTCAAGTAGAAATCACTGACAGGTGATTTTTATCTAATTGTACAAATTCAGTTTTTATAAGTTCTGAGATGGTTTCAGTCCTTAAGCTGTCCACCAGACGGCAGGAACTGAGCATCAGCGCACCTTTAGACCTTTGGGGCCGGTTATCCTCCAGCAGCAGTGCGTGGCAGTAAGCTTGTCGCAGGTATGACGCAGACCTTTTTGATTTATGCTCAATTTTGAAGCATGGTCTGCACTATATCATTCCACGCCACAACGCAAGAGGGACAATCGCAAACTAGCTGTGGGTCTAGATACGGCCGAGTCAGTGAGGAAGTGGAGGCAAGTTTCTCCCATGAGGGCGAAAAAGAGCGGGGATCCAGGTGGAAAAAGGGTCCCCGCGTTCTCGTGCAGCTCACTCTTCCAGGTGGTCCATCTTCACGAGACGTTTTCCGCATTGGCGGTCATACAAACAACACAAGCCGGTAAGGTACAAAACAGGAAATATGTATAGTGTAGAGCAGATGTAGTTTTGACCAATCAGAGGCCTCCTCTCTGCAGCAATGTCTGCGGTCACCTATAATTTGGGAGAGGTGCAGCAGAGTGTCTACAGAGGGGGCGGGGACGTCTATGCGTTCACTGCAACACCTAGTAATGAAGTATAAATCAGCCTTTAGACAACATTTATTGTGGTTTTGTACAGACAGTGTAGAGTGTAAAAAAAAAAAACACTGATATGGTCACTTTGATGCAGAGTCTGACATGATTTAGAGTTTTTTCAACATTAATTTAAAGCTCTGATTTTTGGGGCTCAAAAACAGAATGAATGAATAATTTGGCCTTTAAAGATGCCATCTTTGCAGTACTGTGTAAATGTTAACATTTTCATGTTAACTTTAATTCTGCAATATATAGTTTACAGCCGTCCTGGTTATTCCCTCTATGGGTTACAATGTGGCTACTAAAACCTGTTAAATGTTTGCTTCAAAGTTTGGTTAAGTTATACTTTAAGACAGACTCACCTTTGGCCCCTCCCTCTTTACTGGCTCCGCCTTCGGCTTTACTCTGCTGACAAAGCAGAAACTGATCAGATGCTCTCATCTAACTAGGTACTGATGATGTCATCTGTTAGTTACTCACAGAGGGTAGCCGACCTGACGGTCAGAGGAGGCGACGGGACCTGGACGACTTTTTCTCTGAGGACACAGAACCATCGGATAGACTGAATATAAACATAAAACATTTCAATCATACCCACGTCACAACAGTAGGCTGTTTTGTGTCTTTAACAGTCTTTAAATGGAGGAGACATGCAGGGAAAGTCCTTCCTGGTCAGGACTCGTACCCAGAACATCTGTGTAGCAGCTAATCTAATCCATTTTGGCTCATGTTGCAATACATAGCAGAGTAATCTTGGCTGACACACTAGCCTGGTTTGTATGAAGTGAGAAAACACATGGCAGGCAGCTCCTGCTAGCTATTCAAGGTGTTTCTACGCAGTAATTACAGTCTTTTGATATCAACTGACATCAATTGACAAGTTTTCCATAAT